ATAAGAAATTATTTATTTTTTTCTGTTTCTAAATTTTTTTTGCCCAGATATGATAGATTATACAAAAGAATAAAAAATAATTTTATTATTTTATTATACTGAATTGTAGTATATGTGATTCATGTAAAATCGAGAAATATGCAAATTAAATTATATATAATTTATTTACTAATATATATATGTCACAATTTGTGTTATATGTTTTTTATAAAGACAATTCTTATAGAAGAACAAATGAAATACCTAATATCTCTGAAATGGATATATTTAAAAGTTATTGTCTATATCATCATATATATTATTTTAATACGTGTCACGATAATGATTGTGATAGTTTTTAAAAAAATCATAATTATATTCTTTTTTCCATTGTTCCGATGATATTTTATTATTAAATACATTATGATAAAATTTACTTATACATATAAAATTCTAATATATTGATTTTTTTTGCACTTTTCGGTGGGAGCTATATATCATATAATTAAAATAAATGAATCTTTATTTATTATTTAAAAACGGGTGTTATGTTAATTAAACCGTAATACATATTTCAAATTGATTCTGTAGTTTTTTAATGAATTTTAATTTAAATTTTTTACATTATATTTATAACATATTTATATTTATTATACGTTATGCATTAGTATATTGTTTGTTACCACATTATTGGGAAGAACATATGCAGTATATTTTATATATATCCGAAAAATTATGTAAAATACATTTTATATATTGTATATAGAAATGCATTTGTGTACAATATATGTTTCGTTAAACAGTTTTATTAGTATGAATTATCAAATCGTGTTTATTACATATATATATTAAGTGTTGTTATATTATAAAAAAATATAACAATGCATTATTAAAGGAAAGTGTCCAATGTCTGTATATCTAGATGCAATCATAATTACTGTTCCTTCTGTTTGTGTAATATTAAGTTGCACCTCCGCAAAAGCACAAAAATAAAAATCAAATATGACCCCAAATTTATCTTGTAATCCTCATTTTTATTAATCTTCTTCAGGTCCATATAATTTATTTTTTTTATACAATTATGTATATGTAGTATTTTTCTAAATTTTAACGTCCATATAAAAAAAAATCTGTGTAAATAACTACTATAAATTATTAATCCTTTTATTTTCATAAATGTATAAATTATAAAACTTCGTATGTAATTTGAAGCTATAAGCTTTTATAAATGTAGAAGTAAATGAATATTAGTCAATTCTTAGGTTATTCCATATTTTATTTTTAAAAAAGTACAAAAAAATATGAAAAATAAATAAAAAATGTATTAATAATTAGAATAAAATATATATAAATATTAAGGTTGTTTCTACATTTTAATCATATATATGATGAATAATGCTTATACACAATATATATATTCATGAATATATATATTTAATTTAACTCATTGATGTTCGTTCTTATTAAATGTTATATTATTTTATGCTTCTTAATATATACCCTGTACTTCATGATGCAATTAACTGTGCTTCACTAAATTATTGTTCATTTTATATTTATATATATCTATATAATATTTATAGGTTTCTCAAAAATATGATAAATATAAAAGCAAGTACACAAATTTCTTTTGTTCACAATCATAAATGCATTATACAAATAAAAAGAGATAACATTAAATTTATTCCCACAAGTAAATGTGGAAACACAAAATAGGAAGTATACATACGTATACTACATTGTATCAGGAATTATATATGTAAATAAAAAGATTTATTATTCTTTAATATTACGATGTTTTAATGAAAAATTATAAAAGTATTAATATTAGGTTTAATAAACAATTTGTTACGGAATTAATCATGCAAATAATAAAGAATAAGCTAATTATACTACAACAAAAATAAATTAATAATTTAATTCTATATAAAAAGAGAATTATATTGTATAATACATATATATATGATCATAATAAAGCATGAAAAAAATGTTTTATATATAAAAATGGTAAGGTAAGAAATAAGAATTAAAAATATATATAACAATACTTATTAAAAAATCTATGTGAAATACAACATATACCATAGAGAAATCATTTAAATATTAATGATTTAATTATGTTATAATAATATTTTAATAATACTGATTTATATGAGATGTGAGAAATTTAACTATTATGTTCTCTATAATTACCATATATAACATAAAAGTAAATAAAGAGGATATAAACTATAAATGAACATTGTAAAGTATGATATATTCCATTTAAATATGGAATGATAATTATATTATTTAGGAAAATATTCGAAAATGATTTTTATTATTTAGAGATATTAAGCGCTTGTTTTCTAATTATTATTATTAATTTAAGAAAAGGTAATTATTTTTAACATATATATTTTCAGAAATGTATTTTTGTTCTTCTGTTTCCTTTATATCATATTTCTTGTATTTCTATGTTTTTTTAAGTTTATTTTATCGATTCATTTCTTACTTTAATATATAGAAATTTCATTATAATTATTATAATAATAATTAACAGAAAAATATTTTTTTCAGTAAAATTTTCATATATTATTTGTAATATTCAGTGGAATAATAACTACATTTATAGATCTATGTATAAAACTTTTGTATAAACACTACACGGTTATATAATAAAGAATATTTTTATAACTTTAGAGAATAATATATTTATGATATATAATTTTTAAGAATTACACAATTTATATTTAGAAAACCACAAAACTCTATCCATTATATATTACATGTGCTTCATCTACGAATGTTTCATATATATTTAGTATACACTTATATTTAGAACACTTTTTCCCTGTATAGATACATTTTAAAATAGGTTAGATTCAAGCATGAGTTTTCAATATATATTCATATTTATTTGAATTCACCTTTTTCTATGAGTATAGAATTTTATGTAATTTTTTATTAAATTAAGTGATGAATTTTTTCATTGTTTATATGTATTTAGACAATGTATTCCTTCATTTTATATTTATAATTTTTATGCATATCTCAAGTACTCCCTATTAGAGAAGATTGTCTCATTCGCAAAGTTTAATGAACTCATTTTTATATTAAACAAGGAAGGCTATATACAAAGATCAATATTTTTTTAAAAAACATATGTTGTTCTCTTGCGGTGTCACATTTATATACAATCTTCCCATTGTGTATTGAGATCATATATAATATCTTTTTTAATGAAGTGTTTTAAGATTAATTTTAGATTTGATATAGTACGTTACATAATATTTGCACAAATTAATTATATTGTTCATGTAATTTATCATAAAAGAAATTTCTAATTTTTAAATATATTTCTCTTTTATAAAGCATTCAATTTATATCATAATAAATTAAATTTAAAATCCTTAAAGATCTCTATTATTCAAGATTAATAATCGTGATACTATTTATTTTAATGCAACATTATCAACTAATATGATATATTTGTGACAATATATAAGATGAACATATAGTAAATGATTTCATAATTTAATATGTAAATTTTTCCGTATAAATCATATACCTCTTTTTTCGCTAATTTAGTTGTTTTTTTTTTAAAAAAATTATTATTTTTAATTAATACAAGTATATAAAATTGAATACGAATCCATTATTATAGAAATTATTAATTATTGTTAATATTTTTTATTTCATAATAGCCAACAAACGTTTCTATCAAAAAAATAAGATTTTATAAAATTTTAACAATTAAACTATATAACTGTGAATTAACACGATATATATTATTATATAAAAGGTTTTATATATCGTTAAATTTTTAGTGGAAAATGAGGATTAAAAAAAAAAAAATTTATCTAAAAAAATATTGTTTTTTTTCTTGTTCAAATGTTTGCAGCATTTTTTGTTTACATACCGATTTTTTATCGCATATTAAAATATACATTCCATGTATTATTATAATATACACTCAAATTGTTTTATATAACGTAATTATTATGAAAGGTTTTGATTAATATAATGCTCATAAATAATATATTATTCAAACGATATCGGAAGTAATTAATTCTTGAAAAATCCTCTTTTAAAATATTATACACATTAGTTATATTATAAAAATAAAACATTCATTTATATATTGTTTTTATTTCTATAAAATGTAATAATATTTGACAGATCAATTAATGTGTATAAAAATTTAAAATATAGCGTATGAATACGAAATGATTAAATAACCGATAATTCTTATTTATATATTACCTTAATATATCTTTTGTTCTGATAGTAACTAAATTTTTTAGAAATATGTATTTGTAGCATATTAAGATTATTGTTAGCGTTTATGAGCAAAATAATAAATATAAATATATATTTATAATATTATATATTTTAGTAATACAAATGTTTTTTAAATCCTACGTACTATTATTTTCCTTATTATATATAACAAATAGTACTGATATCTATTTTTAGTAAATGATGATAATATATTTTAGGAATGTGTATCAATTATTACATAATAAAAGCTTATTAACTACATCATTATGCATAATAATTATATTTTCTAATATTTTATATATTTTTGATTAAATTATACATATCACTATAAACAATACAATTTTAAAATAATGAAAATTATTAAATATATATGAATATTATATAATATGATTTATTATTTACATTTGTGTTATCTTTTAGCAAAACTATGCGATTTTAATAATTTAGACAAAAGTTATAATCAATGAACCTATTTTTTTTTATTTATTCTAATACTTATAAATAATATTTAAATTTTTCCCTTAAAATAATTAAAAAATATAATATATTTTATAATGATCACAATTTTTTTCTTATATGTAAAATTTATTTATATAGGGATTCGTTCAAATTGTATATTATTTCTATAATATTATAACAGTTGAAAATTGTTATACTTCATGATATGTGTTTTAATTTTTATATGCACTATATATATATATCCATATATTACATTGTTCTAAGAAGGTACTCTTTAGTGAAATATGAAGATATAAGAAATGACTAAAGATATAGTACATCATAATTATTATAATATAAAATACTACATTATAACATTTTTATATATTATTTTACAATAAATTACGAAAAAAAATATAGTAAATTATAAATTTTTGCATGTAATAATATTTTATTTATTTCTAGTATAAGTTTGTAGATAATTTTCAACAATTGGAAAATATTATGAAAACAGAAGAAAGAGAAAAACAACCTATGGAAGATGCTGATTGTAATGATATTGAAAAAAATAAATTTCAAAATTTTAGTTCGAATATTAAGAACATATGTCATAAGGCACTTAACTATTCTATGTATATAAAAACCTATTACTCTAACATAGATGAAGAATCCTGTTGCATATATTTGTATTATTGGCTGTATCATACACAGTTGAATGGAAAGAATATAAACGATATTAATTTTGTTTATCGTGAATTGATTAATATAAGTGGTGAATCATACGCTTTTTATTGTAATAATCATAAGAACTTTAAAATTACAGATGATGAAATGACAAAGCTGAAGGACATATATGATTTATATTCTATGCTTAATAATATAAATGATGATACAAAAGATTCTCATGAACAATGTGCATATGCCAATAAATGTGCTATTATATATATGAATCACAAAGATACATGTAAATACAACAATTTCTCTAATTTCTGTAATGCCTTAGAACAGTTAAAAAATAAATATAATAAAAAAATGTCTTCTAGTAATTGTGAAAATGGTTCCCCCAAAACATTACCTTCATTACGTTCAAATAATTTTATAAATCTCACATTAATTCCAATTGTTGTATTTTTAGCAATGTCTTCTTTTTTATTTATCTTATATAAGGTTATTAATTATGTTATATGTGTATGTTTATATAGGAATAGTATATATTTGAGCAATTTAAAATGAAAAATTTTATAGAAAACAATTACACATTATTCATATTAATTCTTCTTATTATGAGATAGTTCACTACATGTGGTCGAAGTATCAGATATGAATTCATAAAGAAAAAAAAAAAATATAATAATATAAATAAAGAAAGGAATATACTCGGTTCCTCTGATGCACCCACTTGTGATTTTAGAAATAACAAATATCTTATATTATATAATACTCACTAATTTTTTCATTAGAAATATTACAAGAAGGTAAGATCATTTATAAAACATATATAAATTACTGTAACTTATATTTATAATGATACATTTGATAAAATTATGTGAAAAAGAAATAATTATCATTATATTATAAAGAATAAATGAACATGATTTTTTTGTACTCATGGCATAAGGATTCATATAGAAAAGTATATCATTTCTGAGGTCTTGTTCACTATGAATATAAATATAGAAAAAAGAATACAAAAGATGCATTTAGCGTTTTCTTTCCTATTATATATTGATATTTAAAAGAACATGGCATTTCTATATTAATAAATGAATAATACATATAAAATAATAATACAGATTATTAGCTAATATGTAAATCCATATTGTACTTTCATATATCACTAATAATATATATAAATCAACTAAAATGTAATAACAAATTATTATATTTTATAACATAAAACGATTTAAAATGAATTTCTAGTAATTAAATATAAATATTAATAGTACATATATGTATGTTCAATTTATATAAAATTCATATAGAATGCTGTAAAAATATGTATGCTATATAATTTCACATTTATGATATTGATAAATAGTTTCATATATTTTTTTAATATACTTCGTTTATTAGAATTAAATCATATCATTTTTTTGATACCTTATTTTGGCTTCATTTTTTTTATTTTTTTGTGATTTATTAAAATTGACTTCTTTTTATATAATATAAAAGAAAATTACCCGTTTAAAAATTATTTCTTTTTAAAAAATACCAATTTATATATATCCATATATTAAGATGTTTTGAGATGAAAATTATTATATTACTTGTGTCATATATACTAGCACATAAGATATGTGCTAATTAATGCTTACTTTATATTATAAGAATATGATAAACATTTTATATATTTATAAAATATATAAAACAAATATAGAGAATTATATATTTTATATAAAAAATATAGGATTCATTTTATGTGCTCCAAGGACATCTCATATATATATGAAATTTAAATGTAAAATACGCACTTAACATTTTCATATATAATTATATAAGCAACATTTAAGGCATCAAAAAATATATAAGAATTAAGAAGTATATAAAAATTCATATTTCTAGAAGGAAAATAAATAAAAAGGAAAATTAAACTACTTAAATATATATTATAATTGTAATTCTTATTTTATTAAAAATAAGTAAGTCGATTAAATTAATATGTATATTTCACTGAAAAGATAATTACTCTAAAATCGTAGAACAAACAATTTTTATTATATATAAGTACATATATTTTACTTACTGAAAAAATATACAAATATAAATTTTTTTAAATAGAAATTAGAATAAATTATTTGTGTTCATTGTTTTTATATTTTAGTGAAAATTCATTAAGTTTTTTCTTATAATATTTCTATTCCATTATGTGTAATTTTGTGTATTCATGTATTTCATGCATAAATAAGTCTTAGTATAATATTTTTTACTATAAATTTGTAAAACGTGTATAAATATATATATATAAAATATAATACCAATATTACAATAATCCTTGTTGCACATAATATTTTATTTAATTTATTTTCTAATTCATAAAAATTCGAGAATTTTTCCTATTATGCAATTCATAATGTTCATTTAAACTGTACATATTGAAGGATAAATATAATTGTAGATCTATTAAATATCATTTATTTTATATATAATCTTTTATTATATATAATGTATTTCATGTAAATAATAATTAAAAATGTATCGCTAATAATATGGTTAATTACATTATTTATATATATAAATAACGTAATTTTTTTTAAATAATATGTACTAATATAGTTATATAATAATTCTCAAATATATTAACTGATATTATTATATCACAATTTTTAATTGTATTAATTACTTTCTTAATTTTATAACTATAACTTTTGTCAATTATTTTTAAAATATTCTATGTTTGACTCTGCAAAATTTTTAAATTATAGCAGGAATATTTTTATCCTTGATTTTTTAGTACAATATTATTTGGTATATGTATATTATTATATGATTTATTTAGTAAGATAATATTTAACATGTTATTCGAACATTTACTTTAAGTTTTGGTTTCAATAATAATTCAATTTAACGCTGTATCTGAATTATTTGATTTATTTATGACGAAAAATATATTGTCTTATACTACGTTTGTTAATGAAGTAACTCAATGTTGAAGGTTTGTTAATGATATATTAGATATAGTTATTTATATACTAAAAGAATTGAATATTTATAACTTACTATTAATTTTTATTAATTTTTCATAATAATATGCACATAAAATAATGAATTAAATTGTGTTACTTAAAAAAGGTTATGATATTATTTGAGTACCTAAAAATTCTAATTGTTTAGCAAATTTTTGGAAATCATAGTAGATAAAGTAGTATGCATTTTTCCTTAATATACATAATAAACACATAATATTAGATGATGAAACCTTATATAACTGTCGTTGTATATGATACTTAATTGTTAATATATAGTATAAAAAATAAGAATTTATATTTAGTTGAGTGTGTTTATAGTTGATAAAATTTTCCATATTGTGGATTAAGTATATGAATTCTGCATTAATATATATTATGAGGGTCATCGGAAATATTAATTTATATAATGTCTTATATTGACGACGAAAAAATATAAACTCATTAACAATATTCAGTTTTGTGAATTATATAATGAGAGCTTACGAAAAAAAAATTACATGTATATTAATATAACTCTATGCAACCCATCACGAAACTAATACTGGAATCCACATTTAATCACTCCACAATATATGGTTCAAACATGAAAGAGCAAAACTTTTTTTTTTTTAAAATATGTATAATATGTAAAAACATATAATGAATTAAAGATAAGAAAAACACTTCATTATATGAATATGTATATAAAAAAGTATTTACCTTAAGATATATATATTTTTAGATTAAAATATCATTTCCATCATTTTTTTTAATAAAATCATACTAAAAAATATATAACACAAAAGAATAACATATCGATTTACATATACAATTAAAAAATAATCTATAAAATAATTAAAAATATACAGATATTTGTGTAGTATTAGGTTATAAAAGAACTCACAAAGCATAAATTTATTATATCCATCATGTATCTATTATTTTTATAGACAAATTTATATACAAACTAAGGTATAAATAATTAAAAGTGTTCGAATATATTTAAACACATTCTGTGAACAATGATACATATATATCTACAAAATAAAAATGTAAATAAAATAATTAAATAATAACCTAAAGGTACAATTAATACATATTTTATATATCAAATTAATTTATATATAGCTAATAATTTAAGGGTAAATAAGAATAATTAAGTATATTAAAAAGCATATATGTTCCCTAAATTTATGTTAAATTTATTAAAATATTTTATCTATAAGGTAAAAATAATTATTGTGCTTATATTAATATGTGTGAAATTTTATATATTTATATTTCATTATTATTTACCAAAAACGTCCCTCCAGAAAAATCAATATTCATTAAAGCACATTTTACATTACTTCTCTTTTAATTTTTCATATTTTACAATTTTGATCATTACTTTTATAATGATTGTCAGAAGTGTATAAGTTAATAACACAGAAATGACAGATAATGTTATTGCAACATTCTTTGTAGAATTAAGAAAGGTGATATATTTTTGAATTTTATTTTTCTTGCCTAAGGATTGGACAAATGTACCAAGTAATGGAATAAGAAAGATAATTATAAAACCAAATCCATATTTTAAATGTATTTTGTTATTTAAATTTTTATAATTACTTCTTCCTGGTTTATTAATTTTATGAATACTATCAAATATTTTTTTATTCACATGATCATTCTAATTTTCCTAATCCTATAAATTCATCATATTTTTCTTCCTAAGTTCGCCTATAAGAATCGAATTATTTTAACGCCATTTTTTTTATTTTTTCAAATGTTTCGGTTTTATATTTTTTATATTTTGTTTTCTTAGATTTTTTTTCCAGTTTGCAATTTTTCAAGTTTGTATCAACATCCTGTTTAGCAAGTAAAGGTTCCATTCGCGATCAACATCCTACACTCATTATATATGTAATATCGAACGTTTCACGAATTTAAGGCTATAGAAAGTATAAATATGTTATTTCTTAATTACATAAAAAAATATTAGAATGTTATATAATTATTTTTTTTATAGGATAACTATAATAAAAAAATCAAATATATACCTGAATAAATTATTACAACAACATTCCTATAATGATATATTCATAGAATAATTATAAATGTTGAAAATATACAAAAAATATTGACCTCCATTTTTCCCATCATGAAAAATTTCCTTAATATTATTTTTTATTATTAAAAAAAGTATAAATTATATATAATATAAAGAATTTTTAATTAAAGTAAATGAGTTATTGTATTAATATATTTTATTAGAATAGTATTAATGTATAAATAAATCATACACTAATTATTGATATATGTGAATAACAACTATAAATATATATGGATAATATTTTTTAGTATATTATATTAAATACTAAATCAATTATAGGAATGAATATAAAATATCATTCAATAACTATTTATCATTATATTATTGTCCTTACTATTGTAGTAATAATAATATATATAAAATATGTGTATACTACTGAATTATAGATAATGCGTAGTTTGTTTAATTTACTTAGAACAATAATTATAAAATAATGAGACTTATGTTTACGGTTAAATAATAATTACTCAAATATTAATTTTTAATTATTATATATATATATATATTATTATCATGCGATATATTTTATTCAGTAAATACTTTTTTCTCAGTTATATGGAATCTTAATGAAATTTTAATTGCATTAAATATATAGAGCATGAAAATATGAATATTGTTTAAATGAAGAAGGGAACATAATATGAGTCGCTCGAAATAAACAGCAATTCATTCTTATTTTAATTATAAA